TGTGTGTGTGTGTGTGTGTGTGTGTGTGTGTGTGTGTGTGTGTGTGTTCTCAGTAGTCAGACGTCCTGACCTCAGTGATCACGTGTTTCTCTGCAGAAATAAAATGAGGGTTTTTCATGCAGTTTGGAGATCTGTCGACTTCGGCCTGAACTCTGTCATAAAACAGACGATCAAACATGGATGCAGGGCTGGGGACACAGGGAGAGTCCAGCCGCCCTGCTGACAAAACTCTTTTTGATCACTTGTATCTGTGATCTTGTTCTTTCGGTCGTGACCCAAAGCGTGTGCCCTAAGGTGAGGCTTCTCAACCTTTTTGACCTCTGGGCCCAGTTTGTTGAACATAAAGTGACACGAGGCCCAGTCACACATTACCAATGTATGGATCAAAAATGATAATTATTCTAAATCTTGGTTTAATTTTTATTGGATTTACATTGTCGTGGCAAGTTTATCAAGAATGCAGAAACACGWTGGAATAAACGCACAGAAAGTCTGCGTGTATCGTCGCCATAATGATTTAATCTTGAGCAACAAAACAAACAGACGTCAATCAAATGCACACTGATAACAGAACAAAATCCAGAAGCCCTGAGTGAACAGAGAGGACAAATAATGCTGGACTGAAGACAGAGCAGAGAGTACTGATGACAGCTAGAAAAAACAAATCTTGACAGAGGACATCCTCGTCTTCTTTAGTCTCAAGAAGCTTGAACCTTGATCACTTGGTTGAAATGATCTGCTTCTTCTGAGGCCTTCTTTGGTTTGTTGAAGAATCTTGATCTAAAGCAGAACTCAAAGATGATGACTGAACTGCAGAGTGTTACAATCCCCAGGATCTTCAGAGGAACATAAAGACTGAACCAAAACACTGGTTTAACTTCAACAGCAAAAATGATCACAGGTGACGTCTGRTTACCCAGATTATTTTCAGCCACACAGTAAAACTCTCCTCCCTCTGTGACGATGAACCTATAAACCTGATGCTCAGAAACTTTAAAGGTTCCATGTTTGCTGATCCAGAACCAGCTGAAGGTTCTGACAGGAGGCTTGGCTCTGCTGGAGCAGCTCAGCTCCACCCAGCTACCTGCTGACACCAAACCTGATGGACTGATGGATGCTGAGGTGTCTTTAGGAGCATAGGAAACACTGAGAGTCAGATTTGTTTCTGCTGTCTTGTTCCGTTTCCCTCCATCCACAGGATATCTGACAGAACATGTGATGTTGGATCCATCATGTGTGTCTGACAGAGTCATGGTCTCCTGGATTTTACTTGTAAAGGTTCCATCTGGGTTTGTCTCWGTTTGTCTCTGAGAGTCTTGTTGGAGACTCCAGGTGAGTTCAGGAGGTGAGAGTGGACAGGGAGTCCRAGCTGAGCAGCTGATAGAGACAGACTCCTTCTCCTTCAGGTCCTTCACATCACCTGAGATGCTGATGCTGGGACTCCAGGCTGAATCTGGGATTTCACACAGAAAACATAAAAAAGTGTTTATTATTTTTTCCATTAAAAATGTTAGATTATCATTTCTGTAAAAACATCTTCCTATAATCTCTATATAAAACCTGGACCTTTGTGTTTTTCATTTTACATCTATTGAATTTGTGTGAAAATAATCAAAATGTGCAACTTTTGTTTAATGAGAAAAGACAAAAGTTGGTATTTTGTTTAACAGTGTGAAGTAAAATATTTCTGTATTTAACTGATTGTTCAGAAAATGTTGGTGAAGTTGTAACACATATTTGTATTTTAGTGACTTTTTTGTTGAAGAGAAAAATCTTACCTTTAACTGTTATCTGAACAGATTCAGCACAAGGTGATGCCTTAAAGTATCCATTCTCAATTCTGAAGAAGTATTTGTCTGAATAAGTTGTGTTTAAATCAGGAAACAGAGTGGTGCAGTCTTTGTTCTTCAGGTCTCCGGTTATTTTCAATGGATACTTGTTAACTGAGAAGCCACTGTTGAAAACAGTGTATGAAGGGTACCACCAAGTTTTCATCCAGACTCCRTAGATTGGTTTGATGCTGTCATATCTTCTGTCTGTTGTCTCATATCTACATGGGATTTGTAAACAAGATCCACTCAGAGCTTCCATCCTCTCTGGTGCTGTGATACGTAAGGGTGTTGTTACACCTCTACAATCAGCCAGGCCACCTGTAAAATGAGACAGATGATGAACAAAATGTGCTGCAGAGAAACTTCCTTCCACTTGATGCAGTTTCTCTGCAGCTTGTTACAGGTGGAGCCTTTAAACAACATGAGGATGAAATCTTTCAGAAATGATTCATGTGACGTGTCCAAATGAAAGAGAACAAACCTGAAACAGCTGCAGGAAAGAAGAGGCTCAGTAACATGTTGACTGTCAGCACAGACAGAGCTGCCATCACACTCTCACTCTGCATCTCTCACTGGAATTAAACAGAAACTGTTGTTTCTCTGTTAAACATCTTTTAGGATATTTACCTTTCACGTTAAAAACCATCTCTAATGTTTCTCTTACCGAACGAACCTGCAGCCAGAACGATGAAGAAAAATGAGCAACTTCTCAGTTCAAAAGACAAAGTCATCTAAAAGTGACATCATTGTTCCTTTTCCTGTAACACAGGATGCTGAGCTTTTAGAGCATCTTCTGTTGATCTGGGTGTGAATATTTTTACACAAACTGAGTTTGCCTGCAGAACACAGGACTGAATGTTGGAAACAATTTTATTAACTTTTCATCAAAACACTTGCAAAAGAAATGTTTAACAGCTTTTAACTGTTAACAAACCTGCAGAAAACAATTAACTTATAAAACAATACAAGAGGAAAACAGTTTCTGTCAAACATCTTATCTTTTCATCTTCACACATAAACTCAGTGAAGAAGCGATGCAGAGGAAACTATATTTCTGGTTTATTTAAAGAATTTATTTCTGGCATRTTCCAGATCATTTTGCAATAATCACACAGAAAAAGTGTCTCAATCAGCCTTTTAGAAGCTCTGAAGCCCCTTAACTTGTGTCAAAACTGAAAAAACTAAGATTGTTTCACATCAAAATGTTTGTTTTATAAATAGTTTACTGGTACAAAGTAAAGACACTTAGAGGAGGAGAGGTTTTTTCACTTCAGTAGAAAATGAAACCAAATATTAGTTTATTTAGTTTATTTATTTCTTCATCAGTGACTTTTTTTAGTGAAGAGAAAATAGA